GACCGGTTGAAATCAGCAAACATTTGCTTTTGCAGCAGTGTGAAACTATGTTTATCTGGGTCAGATCGTTTCTGCAATGAAGAATCGAGGTACGTGAAATCATTAGAAGGACAGAACTGCCATGGAGCTCTTTTAGAAGACTGAAAATGTTTTCTCTCGGGAAACTGCCCTTGTGCTTGACGCAGAAAGTGCTCAGTCAGTATGTGCTTTCATTGTTCACCTCTGGGTAAAAAATATGGACCGTTTGCCTGAATGCTATTAATAGTCGCCACACTGCGTAAGACAGCACGGAAATTTGTCTGCTGAAGATAACTATAAAAGATGGGAAGATGAATGCTTTGGTAACACTAGAAACAAGGGTCTGAGACATCAATGCCCAGGTAAAGAAATTAATGCGGCAGTAACAGGGCATGTTGCAGGAAGAATCGACCATCGTTGGACCAAAGAGATGTAAGACTGGGTTCCAAAAAAGAGTGAACGGCCGACGGGAAGTCCTCCCAGAACTAACTGAAGAAGTTCGCTCGATCAAGCTGGATAAAAATGGTAGAGAACAGAAATTTATGGCATACTGTTGGAGATGCAGCGGTGGATGGAAAAGGCAAATGATGATCATTTTTTGTACCGATTTTTTTTCGAATTTATTGCCTATTCTTGCAAGCTGCGATAGGGCTTTCGTGGATAAAATTTTCATGCTTTGAATAATTTCTCAAGTTGCTTTATTTTTAAATGGAACCTCTTGTTTAGATTCTGCTTCCTTAGTTGTTGCACAGTTTTTAGGTGAAAATTTAAAAAGGCAAACAAATTAATGACGTAGCAATGTGTTTAATACGACATGTAGCGGAGGCCTAGCGACAGTCTGTTTGAGTCAGCTTAAGAGACACCGGTGCATTCTGCTCATGCGTTGTTAGTGATTTTGAAATGAAACATCATACAGCTGATGCATCATATAATTATCCATTACTGACGCTTCGGTATGTAAATCATGCTCCTTGTTCGCATATGAAAGTGATAGCGATGTGCGCTTTAGCTGAGGTCGCTTTGAGTAAAGACAAATTTTTTTTAGTTATTGCTTGCGTTCTCCAGGTATTTGCGGCACTACTTAAACTCATTAGGAAGTTGAAAGTCACAGAAAAGACCGGAATAAGCAAGAAGTTTTGTAGCATTAGTGGCTTTTGCCTTTGCCTTTAAGTTTTGCTACGCTTGTGAAGCTTTGTGGTATATGTTTGATTAATTAGAACGTGCGCCACTTTTAATTTCTGCATTACATTTCTGATTTTGTCCATTTTTTGAATTACTTACATGCATTATCGACAACTAGATTTATTGTTTCATAACCAGTTACCACGCGAGTGAATTCTTTTGTATGTACTGCCCACGACTCGAGATATTCACTGGTTCGTGCCTCTTCAGCTAGTCAATCATAAACTGTAGCAGGGATTATCTAAAACAAAATTTATACGCGAAATGATTCACTTACGAACTATGATGATTAACCAATTTCTTTGTCACATATGTCAATGTTGCTTAATACTTAAAATTATCCAAGCGATACTTTTGAATAAATTATTAGTTCTATTATTCTTAGCTTATTTTTTGCATGCCTTTCATTGAACGAATTAAGAGTTTCACAAGAGGCCTTATTTGAACATTAGCAATTGCATGCAACTTGTATAGATAGTTTCAAGCTGTATTCGCTCTGTTTAGTGGTTAAATTATACAGGAAAGTTTACTGAATGTTTACACTTGTATGCTTAAATGCGTGGGATATTTTGACTGTTTTAATTTTTTGTTAATGCTATGAATTACTTATTTATTCTTTATCAATTCAGATTAAACTTAGCGTGAAAAATTTTTGCTTGCACTGGGATATTTATATTTCGTTTATGTTTCAATATTAATTGTCATATCTATTGGTTATATTTAGATTTTATTGATAAAATCTTCGTAGTCCTGCAGAGACGCGTCCTTCAGTTCCAGAGAAATATATTATTTAGTCTACGAGAGATGGTTGACTACGGTGGGACCTTCTTATTAAATTTGTTAACGTATTTTAATTAATTCATTAGATCTGTTTAGTGGAGTGGATTTTTCTACATTACTCTTTCGAAAGACTATTATTGCTGCGTTTTCCACTCTGGTGTTAGAGGAGTTATGTTGGGCTTAGTTTTAATGTTACTGAACAATTCATGAAGTTTGTGCTTTCCTGTTCATCCATTCATTACGACGGTTATTCTTTAGACTGATATTTTTTTATTTTTATTATCTTACAATGTTTGCATTTTTCTTCTATACATTTTTCGTCATCGCACGAGAAATACTGCAAACGTATTTTAGTGTATTACAAGGTAGTGCGTTGATCACCTGTGCACTCAAACAGCTCAAACCGTTTGCAGTGAGTTCACTCAACCACAGTCACAGACACGTCCTCGTATTGTCTTACAAAGACATCAATCGGGCGTTCCTTCCATCCGGCATCAGCTCATTTTCTCGAAAAACATGAAGGTGTAAAGAGAGAAGTCTTGTCTTCGACGTGCAATAACGTCCATGTTTGATTTAGTTCATTCATTTGTTTACTTTTGCTTTTTCTATCAGTGTCATTGCAGACCTTTTCCTTCTTTGCTATTCCTCAGTTATACTGTGTGTTGTAATTAACAAATCCTACCATCACCTTCGCATTATTATAGGCCATATTGATCTACTCATCTGCTGAGAAATAATCATCTTTATCACCCAATTAAAGAGGTAATAAATAAAACTTCAGCCAGTTGCAGTGCAGCAAAGTGACGAAGCATTTATTCAAGACATTTCAATTACCGATACCGCAATTACATAGCTAAAACACAATGTTTTTGCCTCTAGTCGTCTAGGGGGCCAAAGTCACGGTTACATGATACTTGAAAGCACGTAATACATCTGATACAAAACTGCATCTCTGAGTTTGGCTGAATAAAGGATCCTTCCAGGCACCGGAAAAATTTTCCACTGTTTATAGGTAAATGTACGGAAAAAAATAAGTTAAGATATAGCTAGCTCAGGTGTTATGGAATTTTTACATAAAAGTTTGACAGGCTTATCCTCGTTCCTCGTCCATCATGGCTCACGACGACGTTTTACTCTAAACATCTTAAAAAGCTGCGTGGTCGAAACATTGATATCTTTGCAATATTTTAAGAGCGAAATGTTGAAAGCCATTATGGATATCATCTTCTTACTGAAGAGAAGTAGCAGTTATATTCAGTGCTTTATATTGATGCATAGATCCTCAACAAAATAACAGCATCAAGGGTTATAATGTTTACTCAGCATATGCAAATTCGGTGTAGACGATGTTTCGGATTACACTGGATCCATCATCAAGGGACAGAAGACATAACTGTAATGGTAAACTGTAATGATATCCATTGATCATGGATTCATTCTTATCCGAAATGTCGAGCAAAACGTACATAAGATTTACATGCGATGTAAGCACTCTGAAGAAATAGCAACAGATCGAAAGCCTGCACGTCGCAGCCGTGTTCGAACACACCTTATCATATAAGGTAGAGAACAAACCGTTTGGACTAATAACTACTCTTGTCTTTTCGTCTAAGCCGAAAACGCTGAAACAGCATTGCGTTCCCGGGGACAGTGTACATTTGATCCTTAACACTGATCTAATATCTTTATCGAATCTGCAGCTGATCAGATATCACCGACTGATCTCAATGCCCCTACCATTCTGTCACGTGCGAATTTTCCTCGCAGGCTGTCATGTTTCTCTTTTTGTTCATTGTCCCGCCCGAGTCGAGGTCTTGCGACTGGATGCTTGCAGCCTCTAGGGTACTAATCCGTCATTGCTGAAGTCCATCTGCCGCCTGTTAGTCATGCACGTGACCGCCCGTCATCTTTTCTTCTCTGAAACTGATAAAAATTTTTCAGTCTTGGGTGTCTTCTTATTTCTTCGCTTCACGGCCCCTTCCTTCCTCCTCCCTCTTTTCATCAAAGCCCGCCGGTTCACTCTTAAACGATTCTTCTACTCGTCCAGGTCGACTGGCAATCGTATATAGTTGCTGGCGGCAATGGCATGGCTTCATAAAATGCAGGCCTTCAAACAACTGTCGGTTTCGTGTCTT